AGAAATTTCCCTTGGAATTCCAGTCGAAAGATGAGTCCAAATCGAATTGACACCAAATGATATTTCTCTTTTAAAATAAGCGCAGGTTCGTATGGAAATAACTATCGCATGTTAAGGTTTTGGATCAAGGCGAAGTTCAATAACAATCAGTTGTTCCTGTCTAACCCAAGATATTGTGATATTTCCGACGTGTCTCACTTCGCTGCGTGACCACATGGATATTAACTACAGCGTAGGACTGAAACTACACGAACTTCGAGATTAAAGATGCATTTACTGCAAGTTACCCATGTGATTTACGACTCAGACTAGGAGCCCAAGGTTTATAAGATCGTTTTTTAACCAGTTTATAGACAATTCAATACCAGTTGCAATATCATATTGCATCATGACGCTCGCAATTAGAAAGACAGCTTACTGGATCCAGTAGTGGCAAGGGAAGGACCGTCGAAGTTTGCATTGCTCTCAGCCATTTTCAGCAGAGGTATTTTGCACGGCAAAGGAACTTCTTTATCGTCTTCTGCAAATTCACTGCTACTCGAACTTCCACGTCTCTTACTGTCTGAGATTCGTTCGTAGCTCATGAGCGCTCCGATGAAATTGCCCCTTTGTGACGAGCGCGCAAGATGTTTCTTAGAAAGAATTGGAAACCCACGCGGCCGTTTCTCAGAAAAATTGAACAAACTGCTATTGTCCAGGGTGGGAAGGGGAGAAATTAAATCCTCACAAGCTTCTTTATTCATAAAGTTTATCCAAACATTATCATTAATGTTTTTCTTTCAAGTAGGAAAAGCTTTTAAAGTTTTAAGAACGCTTGATTTAAGGATTTCGCAGCTTTCTGAAATCCAGCTCACCCTCGAGGAAACTGATAATTCGACCTGACTGGGGAGTGGAAAGGTAAATCTTTCAAGAAAAAATAAAAGGAAACCAAATAAACATGTAAGAACCTTCAAAAGGTGAAGATCAAGGTCCTTTCCAGTGTCAAGTTAGCCTGGTGGTCTCCTAATCGTAAAAGCAAGTCGACGCATATTAATCAATATTTGCTGCTTTTAATTTGGTTTTGTTCAACTTGAATGAATCATCGAAGCCGGCGATGTGGAACAAAGATCGATAGCTACCCAGGTTGTATTGGGTCAAATTCTAAGAATTCAATTATTTTTCTACTAATTCGGATAGCCCGGCAATTGAAGAAAACATTCTCACAGTTTGAAAAGCGGTGAAGGAAATAAATATAAGTTAAAGATTTTCATTAAGAGGTTGATCAAAGCCCTCACTCTGTGTTTTATACTCAAAAGCTGGCTCGACTATTAACCTTCTGCGGACGTTTCAGGCAAGCATTCAGTCGTAATATCGAATACTTATGAACTTTAAACTCACCAGGAGAGGCCATAGCTTCAAGTTGAATGGGAATGTCCTCAGACACCACTTTAGAACCAACAAGTTCCTCTTTAACGGTGTTTTTAAGCCGTTTGAAGCTCATGCTAACAGCGATCCGCCGACTATCTTTAATATAAGGAACGGAGAATGGGGAACGGGGATTGGGGAACGGGGATTGGGGAATGAGGAATGGAAAAAAAACGAAATTCTCGGAAAAGGTCAGGAATTTTTATGAGCATAGACACGTCCGTGATATTCAGTATCAACGCCTCTTCAGATTAAGGTCTCAATGGAGTAAACCTCTAGCTGTAAAATAGCATAAAATAAACTAGCCGTTAATTAAGCGTAAAACGTGTCAAATTTTAATCGTTGGCCGTAAAAGCCGTGACCTTATTGGAACCCTCGTGTTAGAGCGAATTATAAAAGCTCGTAAATCTTTCGATGAACTCGGTAATAAAAAGCCCTATTTTAAATTCTGTACTGAAATGAGTAAAACAGTAAGGTCCGATTTTGTTTTTTCGAAAAACTTTACCTTGCTCTCATAATTCGAGGAAATTGCTGAAACAAATGCTTTAGTTAAGAAGCGCCATGCGCCAGAATAATATCGCTTTGGGTTAATGAAATGCAGAATGGCTTTGTCTGAAGAAAACGTCTGCAAAGTTTTTAATTAAGCAAATACTATAACTCGAGCCAACGCGTACAAATTATTTCAGTATTTATTTATTCTTGAGTCTAAGGTCCAACGACCGACCTGATTAAGTCGCGATTAAAAAACATTGTGCTCCGTTCCGCTTGATCACGCTCAGAGCCCAAGTTACACTCTAGAGGAGACATGGCGGAGAATTTATTTAGTGGTTCATCTTTCCGCCTGATTGGTCTTGACGTAATGGCAGTATGCACAGCTCTCCAATAACAAAGATGAGTTAGCAGCACTTAAGCAAGCTTTCAACAATTCTAAACCCGTCAAATTCCCCCTCCCGAAACAGCTTCCCCCAAATGTGAGGAAACCAATTGTTGATCAATATTTGGCAAGAACCCGGCGAGGAGGGCAATTTTTGTGTGGGGCTCTCCGACAAAATTTAACTCTAAGGCGTAAAAAGGATTAATCATTAAAAAAAATTATGCTAGGTTTAATGGGAAAAATTAACCGTAAAATTGCCAAACTTTTAACCGTTAGCTGTAAAAACCATCACCCCATTGAGACTCAAACCCTCTTGTAAATGCGAGAGTGTAGAACCAGTGAACAATAAAAGGTTATGAGGCCAGATAAGGAAAATAGCCCAAAGGGGTTGAAGAAGAACAGACTTGAGGTCCACAAAAAGGAACAAGGGAAATAATTATTATACTGTAATCTGCGATCGTTCCTAAGTTGATGAAAGTTGAAACGAATGATTGACTCACTTGGCGGTGCATTTGGTTGTGGAGGAATTGACATTTCCTCGTACAGAGCTGTAGATTCTGCGAGTTCCTCAGCCAAAGAATTTCTCAGCTTTTTGAAGTTCATCATTTTCACTTTATGAATATTTTTTAGCTGTAGTAGTTCACTTTAGTTGGCAGCACTCAGCAATGCTTCTCTCATGAAAAAAATGCGATGACTATTTGATACGAACAGCTCTCTCACGAGGGACTAGTGAAGACTTTCTGTTAACAATTTCAGTACTTTTTCACCCGTAAAGGAAATGAGAAGTAGGGAAAAATAGCATATAGAGGAAGAAATTTGATAGAACCAAAATTCTAAGAGAAAGCAAATATTTACAATTTGTGTTATACATTGTTGAGAATTGATCTTTAGATCGAGGTAGTAAAAGAGTTAAAACCATCTGATCCCCCCCACCCCCTCAAATATAAAGACTAGTCCCTAACAGTGACCGATAAGTAATTTCTTACTACAATGTTAATGCATTCTCAAGTATAAGGTAACAGTGATATTCAAGTGAAGTTAAACGTCAGCTAGAGGTCACTTTTAGACGAAGCATTAAATTTTCGGATTAAATTCCATCGGAAATTTCGCTTGAGTTCTTGGGAGAGAAAAGCGGAACCCTTAGTTATGTGTCTTGGTGACGGAAATTTGAAAAAAACTCCATTTAGATGGAATTAAATTTTTCGTCGAGCACGTTTACTAAAATTCAGATGTTTCTTGAGTTGATAATATTCTACTTGTAATCATTCTACTGTATCAGCCATGACTCAAATATTTTTCTTTAGATAAACGGGACGAAAGCTTCGGAAAATCTTGTACAGTTTTAAAATAATTGGCCAAAACAATTTTAATTGTTGTCCGACGCCAACGGAAATTTGCCCAGCTGTTGAAATAATATACTACGATCAAGTTTGCCATTAGCAACAAAAATTGCTGACTTACTATTAGCAATCCATTGACGGCTTTTAGAACTGTAGCCGGCAAAAGTCTTTTGGAAAGAAAGTAATTCGAAAATTACAGTGGAACATGACAGTTTCCATAGAGCGCGCGTGAAGACCTTTATGCTTGGTTGCCATCATAAAAATATTTCTGTGTAAGTGACGGCTTAGAGAGCGAGTGTTCAGACACATGCTTGCAATTGTTGGTAATCCCAGCGTTAAATTATCCTTTTCAAAAGGTTATCCATTTTTCAACTCAAATTAAGCTTAAATTACGTCAGTGTAGGCTAGAACGAGAAAAAACTGTCAAATCAAAAACCCTTACGGCGTTGACGAGAGGTCAGCGTGTAGGGCGCGCATTGTGGAGGTCCTGGGTTCGAATTTCGCTCATACTTGTTACCGGAGTTTGAAGTAGGGACCATAGCAAACATTCATTCCAGCTTAGCTGTAGGCTAAAACGAGAAAAAGAACTTTAAAATCAAAACCCCTACGACAAAAATTGCTGACTTACTATTAGTAATCCATTGACGAATTTGAGAACTGTAGCCGGTAAAAGTCTTTTGGAGAGAGAGTAATTCGCAAATTACAGTGAAACACGATAGTTTCCATAGAACGAGCGTAAAGACCATTGTGCTTGGTTGCCATCATTATAGGTTTCTGTGTAAGTGACGGCTTTAAGAACGAGTGTTCATACACATGCTTGCAGTTGTTTGTGGTCACAGCGTTAAATTATCCTTTTTGAAAGGTTATCCATTTTAAACTCGAATCGAGCTTAAATTACGGCAGTGTAGGCTAGAACGAGAAAAAAACTGCCCTATCAAAAACCCTTACGGCATTGACGAGAGGTCAGCGTGTAGGGCGCGCATTGGAGAGGTCCTGGGTTCGAATTTCGCTCATACTTGTTACCGGAGTTTGAAGTAGGGACCATAGCAAACATTCATTCCAGCTAGTCAGAGATGGGAAATCTAGATTTTGTTTCACACGCGTTCGAGAGAGCATGCTTCAGTTCCCTGAAATTCAGTTACACGAGGACTACGCCCAAGAACACCATTTTCGAAAGGATATGTATCTTTTGAAATTTCAAATCGCAAACCGTTCGATTGCAGATTTTAGGGTTACTTTTTAATTTTTAACAAACGAATGACTGGGTTTTTCGGTTATCCTTCTTCATTGAATTATACCTTGATAGTTCAAATCATGGTAGATGGCCTGACCACACAGGAGATACGGAGATAAAAGATTTCCTTTCCTTTGAAACTCATACCTGACAATAACTTCTGGATGATTTTTAATGTATTCAAAACTACGTAATTTGTTTACAAATTTTTTCTTTACCAGTTTAAACAAAAGATACTCTGTTGGAAAACAAGCATAAAATTGATTGTTTTCGATGACTACCTATCTGAATAGTATAATTCACATCTCATAGGCGTCCAAAAGAAATTTTAAAAAATTATATATTTGACCTCAATTATCCTAACCATGAGCAATGACATCATGGAATCCGTAACTTTTTCCTAAGACGAGACGCAGCCTTTACGCATATAAATCCTTCCTTACAAGTCTTGGTTCCTAAATCAGCATATGTTGAACTCGAACGACCCTCTTCAGGTAAACACATCGTTCCAGGTCCATCGCAAGTCATTCGGCAGCATTTCAGCCCCCTTGCATCACACATTGTTGCTTCAGGGACAAGATCATGATGGGGCTTACACTGAGGGGAAACCAGTTGGCAAGACGACAGAGCCCCTCTATGGTCGCACTCGCAGTGGTCACAACCTGTGAAAATTATTCCTGTTATAATCATTCAATTAACTCACGGGAGGCTTCCAACAATACTGATTTTAGCAGTCTGTAGGGTGCGTGTTAGATATGGGGACACTGTATTAGCTAACCGTAAAGTCACTGTGGCTCAGCGGTAGAGCTCTTGAATCCTCCGTTCAAATTTTCTTGAGTCAAGCAATTAAGGCCCAAATTGTATAGTTAACGCAACCGACGCAAGTTCTGGTCGAATTTACTATAGATTTCTCTAGCTGTGGCTCAGCGGTACAGCGCCGGAGCACGGACTGAATCCGAAGTTCTTAAGTTCGATTCCTCATGGGGACTCAAAATTTTCCCTTTGTCCCACGCTCTAGATAAGAGAAAAAATTATCTTCTTAATGACTCATTACAAGATATCCTACATAAACTGAGCAGTTTATAAACTCTTGCTCATAAGTACACGTGCTTTAGTTTGAAACCGTCAAAGCCCCAAGAGATGGTTTCTGTGAGAGAAATCATGGGTAGAAGTTTCCTTTATATTCTTTCAATGGTTGTAAGTTACGTGTGCAGAATGTGCTACACTAGGGTCACTCAAGCGCGCAAGCACTAACCTTTCACAGAGAGAATTGTGTGAAGCAACGCCAAAAGGCAAACTAGTGTACGAGCTGTCATCTTTCGCAGAGGGTCAAACCGCATCAAAAGGCACAGAACAGAATCAAGTCAGCTTTTTCCTATTCCTAGAATACAATTAGCGACAATATTGTTGACACTTTGCCGTTGAGATGGCAATATTCTGGTGTAGCAGGAGGAGGAAGACCCTTGGAATGGGGCGAAAACTCCGTGGGAACGAAATTGGTCCTTTCGGTTTGATTCTCTCGGGTTTTCACGAGAGATTGTATTGTACATGTTGTAGTAGAAAAAAAAAGAAAAAAAAAAGAAGAAGAAGAAGTAGAGAAAATAAAAGGGAAACAAGGAAAAGAGGGGTCCAGCCAAAGCCAAGACTGTGAGTGTTCTTGGCTTGGGTCTCGGCTGTCTTGGACCTTGGACTGTGAGCCCATGTGCACAGAGAGACACTCCCAGATCTCGCTCGAACAATGAAGTAAAAGAGAGGGCTGGAAAGGTAGAATTTCCCTAAAGTGTGGCGTACGGCTGTGTGTAATAGTAGCAGCAGGTATTTCAACTTATGCCTCGTTTTCGTATTTATACCAGCAGTGGCACCTGCTAACTGAAATCACTGTCGAAGGTTTTTCTATTTGTAATAAAATCCAATGAAAAATTCTTAAGAAAGCTAAATATATAGGGATTGATAAAGTAATTTTTCCAAACGTTATTTGAAGTTTATTGGGTTGGATTAGCCCTAATAAAAATTATGGAACATAGCAGAGTTTAACCTGTCATAGTCTCAACAACTCGTTTTATTTTGGCTCGTTGTTCTTAGAAAATCAGCTGGATAATGGAATAAAAGTTAAAAATCTTACCTTACTTCTTGCTTGCTTTTTCTTTGTCGAAATGTTTTAGGAGTATAAAGTACAGTATGAAGCGTGATGGCGAAATTTTCACCGACGAATCGTAGTGCTTTTGAACGGCGCTTTGCCTCTGCTTCTGGTAAATAGACAGATAAATTTTTAACGAATTAACGTTGAATTCGATTTGTGACAGGTGTTCATGTGCTTATTCGAAAAACCTCAGCTTATTAATGATCAAATGCAGACGTTGTTATGAGGAGTTAGTGTTTCACCCAATCAGAGATGTGCAAGTCGATCACTTTTGTGTAGACGGAAAATTTTCAGTAGGAGTGAGGAGTATGTAACATCTGCTTGTAAGCCTCTAACTGACATTCAAAATCACAAAAAGAAACGAGGGAGAAAATTTTTATAGAGAATGTTGTTGTTCGATTTGGTTTTGTAGAAAAGTGACCGTTCAATCATTTGTGTCATTATGAAAGACTCAGGCTATAACAGATAGAAAAGGGCTACTCAAATGTTTCGACTTCTTTAAAAAAAGCGCTATGTTTGGCTGTTATTAAGGCAGTTGTGTTTGAAGAAGGAAAATGTCTTTTGATCATGTCAAAATTGTGGAGTAAAGGACAAATTCTGAGTCCTGGTGAGGAATCGAACCTCAGAAGATCGAATCCCGTGCTCCGATGCTCTACCACTACTCTACCACTGAGCCACAGGGAGCAGCTGGGTCATTTCATAGGTGACACGCGTCCTGCATACTGCTGGGATCAGTAATGTCGAATGCGTCATGAGCATAAACAAGAATACGGAAGATGGTAAATTTTGAGCTTGGTAAGATATAGAAAAAGATGTTTTTTTGTATTTTCAAAATCACGAAACAAAGAAGAAAATCTGATCACCCATAAGAATTTGAACCTCAGGGGATCGTATTCCGCTCTCCAATGCGCTACCACAGCGACAGAAAAACTCTATTGTGAACTAAGCCAGCTGCGTTGCTGTATTTATTTATCAACCTCGGCCACAACATGAACCGATGTAAATACCTCAGGAAAAATCAAAACTAAGGACATAACAGCCTGAACAATGAAAACAACGAAAGAATGGTGATTTGGACCCATGACCGCTCTGTGATACTTGTGCAGTGCTCTTGGTTCTAGACCCTTCTCTTACTAGCCTGAATGCTCACGTGCCTGCAAATGAAAATTCTAGACATTGTTATTAACCATGTTGTCGAGACCAGAGAGGGTAAATTACGCGAATGTAAAAAATGTAGCAGTTAGCCGCGCCATTTATGAAAGAAGTCTGTTCGTTCGTTATGAATATACGCTGTAATGTGTTCATCTATCTCGCTTACTTAAAACTTAACCAGGGATAAGCTGCCATTTGGTGCGATATCTCAGTGAATTGGTGAGAACGCCACATTACCATCCAATGTAACAGTACTAAGTAGAGTACAAACAATGCGCGAATCAAGTGGAAATATATGAACGATAGCCTCTATCTGTACCAAGATGTGATCAGTTTTCCGAGATCGAAGCTCGTGAAAAACTGTAACGTCCAAGGAGAAACATACGAGCATATTTCCGCGCAAAATGAAAAATAAATATTTGCCCTCTTCTGTAACAAACATAAAACGCTCTCTCATCTTGAATAAAGTTCGAAACGAATACTTATCTTAATGAACGTAAGGTTTGAAAATTTGGGAATATCGCTTGGGTGATATTCTCGTATATCACTTAGTTTCAGCTGGGGATAATCGGTCACGTGCTGCGTTTAGACCAATCGCGCGCGAGCAAATTATTTATTGTAAAGTTGCCTGTTTCGTATTGTAGTAAAAAACCGGTTTAACCGGTCGGCTACGCGCGTTACGCTTCTCAATCTGCCTCGTTTTTCTCACTTTTAAGAAATGCGTATAAACTAAAGCAGCTGGATAATAAATAATTACTTAGACGTTTTGGTCTGCAGATCGCTGAATTTTTACTCATAGTTAGGGCTCATCAGAATACGGCAAAACTCGTAAAAATACTCAATGATATTACACCTCAAAACTTCTAATAAGATACAAATATATTGCAAGATGATTTTGGTTCGGACCCCGTTCGACCCTAAATTTTATTCAAGTTTTAAAATCTCATCAGCTTATAGGTTGCGTAAATATGATTGCTATGACCTTTGCCCTGTCAAATTTTTCTCTAAAATTTCTCTTGCTTCCCCTTCCTTTATTGAATATTTGATCAAAATAATTGTAATGTACTCTTGAGCGCAATACATATGCAAACATTTACAGACTGTACCTGAAATGATTTTGAAGAGAAATCCCGCAGTTAGTTCATTCAAATCGCATTACCAATGTGACAAAAAAAAATAATAATATAAATAATACTGAGTCACAGAGAAAAAGAGGAAAAGAGAGAAAGAAAGTGAAAAGTAGCTGAGTTTTTAAACTGACGCCAACTTAATGATTAAAAATAAGGATAAGAAATATTTACTTTCTGATACAATTCTTTCTCACGTGTAAGTTTTCTTTCGTACGTGGACAGGCGGGGGTCAACTTCATCTCATGTTGTGTAATCAGTAATAAGTTTTATTTTTTGTTTTTGCTTCCGTTGAACCAAGAAGCTCACGTTTTAAAACACGTTCAGTTTGTCATTAAGTTTAAAAATAGCCGCAGCTGGAGATGAAAAACACTGAGGTAGTTTGCGCGATCTAACGTCAGCTAAATTACCCGCGCGTGATATTTTCCATTCCCGACACAAACCTTCCAATCCATGAAATATCGTCTCCGAAAAGAATAGTTTATTACTTTCGAGACAATATACAACTTAATGCTTTGCCATTTTTGTTTTCTTTTGTTCAGTATTCTTTTGATTTGTTTCTCTGTTTCATATTGCTCTGTCTGTCTCACGTTTTAACATAACATTAGCAGAAATTGGCAGTGAGGGGGTGCTATCAGCAGAGATTTCGTTACATAACCTTTTACCAAACTGCTTTCAGCTTATTATTAATCGTGTAATCATTAACAAACGCGTGTTAAAGCCGGTTTCTTTGAGTGTTTTGTTTTATGAAAAGGATAAATGAAAAGTATACATTTATTCGACGGTATATGAAATAGCGCTTATATTACAAAGACGAACTGAGTTTCGCCCCATGTCGTGGGAAATATTGAATTACTTGCTCGCGATAAGGCCAAAGAGCTAAAGACGAGTGAGAATGAAAATTGTTTTCAGCAAAACAATGCTACAATCAGTCGCTGTAACACGGAACGTATGTGTTATATAACAAGGTAATGGTGGAACTCACGTGTAAAGTACACCTGTCCATTGCCCGTTGCTTCCTGATAGAGAGAAATAAAAAGGATTCATAAACACTACGAGCTTTAAATATCAAGAATCATGCTAAGACCAGCTCTAGACGATCGTCGCATTGAAAGTATTTAGGTTTTATCAGAGCATTTTCCAGAAATGTTTACTTCTACCAACGGTACCCGTATTGTCTTAACCAAAACTAAAGAAGTCTACTCCAGTCCAGAGAGTAAAGATGCAGAGAACCGCACACAGCGGTCATCTTCTAATCTAATTCCGAACTATGGAGGCCTTCCAGAATCGAAGATGTTTCCACCTTTCTTGAGATACGCAAAAAGCACAGATTGCGGTAGCTACGCGAACAGAGGGAAATATTTAGGAGGAGAATTCGCCGATTTCGAGAACGCAGCTCAGGTAGTAACCTACGCACATAGCATGGGAAGAGGCTTCAAAACCTCAGGCGCTAAGTATCTCGAGAAAACAGATGAGGTAACAGAAAAACCGTCAGAGAAAGAAATGAAGGAAGATTCATACGACGAAGATGATGCAAATAACGGAAAAGAGGGAAAGGAGAGCTACTGGGAACGGCGAAGGAAAAACAATGCCTCGGCGAAAAAGTCGCGTGATGCAAGGAAATTTCGTGAACTGCAAACGCAATTAAAAGCGGCTTTCCTTGAGAGAGAGAACTTGCGAATGCGTACAGAGCTTATGATCATCCTAAAAGAAAACGCTTGTTTGAAACGAGTTTTATGCGCCAAAATGACATGATGGATACGTATTACTATGTTTTGGTATTCTTGCGAAAAAAAAAGGATTTGCGATTGTGTTTTTTTTTTGTCTTTATTAATGTTTACATTAAACTAGGTTGATATGTTGCGATGTAATGCTATGCGAGATAGCAGTTTGTATATTGTTAACCTTCACCAAACTGCGTTCAAAATGTCAGTTTTAAACGCTTTGATTTATTCAAAATTCTTCATTAAACTTGAAATAACATGCTTGTTTTGCGGTCTTTCTTATGTGTATTTCGTAACTTCGCGATAGCAAACTTGGGAGGGGAAGAAGGATGGGAAGGGGTGGAACTTTCCACCGATATTAGAAAAACAATCTAAAAGAAGCTGCAACGAATTTTCAAGGGATTAGACAGATTTAACAACTGTGTCTGTCAACAAAGTTTCGAAACAAATATGGATACAATTTCGCAAATTTGAAAGGCTCAAAATCGTCCAGAATTCTGTGGAAATTTCGCGAAATGAGTCAGAAAACGCTGCATTCGTCAAATGAATCGCTTTCAAACGAAAGGACGACCGCGCAAAGTCAATATGAACATTGAAAATAATCGCAAAAATCTGAGCCTTCAATAAGCTTCGAAAGTGTGTGAACTCAACCTGAAAACAGACAAAATCTTCAAATCACGTGCGAACATCTTCACCACTTATTAGTTATAACCGATGCCATTTTTGTGGCATTGTTATTCATGATCCTGTTTTTGAATAAATAATGAAAGGAAAGCTTTTGTTTAGTCTATGCCGGTGAAATTCGAACTTCTTGATCATATTTAACCTTGAAACAGGCTAAGAGATAGCCCTTTGTTAGAGTCATTTCAGGGTGTTTATGACTTCGAAAAAAAATATATGAACCTGCTGAATCTGCTAAAGTTTTAAATAAAAATGTGATAGTAAAATGCTTTTAAGAGTAAAATGCTTGTGGTATATGTTTCCGCTTTCGTGACATCTCACGTCCTATAAAAACGGAAGACAATTCATAGATCACTTCTCGTTTAAACATCTGCAAAACTATACGATAAATTTGCACCAAATTATGAAAAAAATTATTCTGAATAAGTAGTTGATGAGATTTTTCAGCGTCGGGCTAACATTTCATCTGAAGGAAAGAAAAAATTGTAAAATACTCCTCTCTGTACGTTCGAGATTTAAAGGAGGAGGAGAGGGAAGTCACGTGATTCATCTTCATCGAACTTTCCAATGTCTCCATATTTTTCCCAAATTAAGACATTTTTTTTTAGATTAATTCCGTAAATTTCTATAGACCATAAACACAAACAAGTCACTCCTAGCACTTTTTAAACCGTTCTTATGTTCGTGACAAGGTTCCAAAATTTCACCTTCAATAAATGTCTTTAAGACTGAACAAAGGCACAACGTATGCCCTAGATGCAGCTCCATACCAGCTCTGTCTGAGGTTCAAATCTGACTATGTATGCCATTTCGCTCAGCCCTGTTCTCACGGTTCCAGGAGGATTTCTCTCCTTTTCCAATTTGGCATTTTCCATTTATAAGCATTGAAGATTTTTCCCATAGGTTACTCAATAGGCTGGCAAGAAAGTTTGTTTACGAATTCTTACACAATGCTCGTAGCAACTTCACTAGGTTCAATTAGTAAGCACAGGACTGCTATTTAGTCCTGTTATAATTTTTATTATTGACATTCAGTCAAAGATACTGTACAGGAAAACACAAGTGCTCTTAAATTAACAATTGTAATCATCCCAAAAGACAACATAATTGCAGCGAGAGAGTAAACATTGTTATTAACAGTAATGGCTTAGTGGCATTTCAAAGTTATTTACATCTCTTGCTGTCTATTTTGAAAAGTTTATTGACTAATAAAGATGATAAAATAAAAGAGCTTCAAGTTCCGCTATCTAAAAAAGTCTGTAAAATGGTCAGGTCATATGTCATGTAGAAGTCATGTCATAAAATTTCCTCTCTGGCTAGTGAATAATTAAATATATTTGTAGTGTTCATGATTGCAATTTCCTGTGAAGGAAATGACTGCTGGAAGATAAGTAAAGTCGGTTCTGTCAGCTGCTTCTTATTACAAACGCTTGTACAACAAAGGTAACTGAATGTATCGATCATTCTTTTTCTAAGTAATTATAGTATCTATTTTCAGCAACAATCCTAATGTAACAACAAATTCTTTTCAACTTTTTTCGTTTCGAAAATCAAGCATTTTGCAAAAGTATATATATTTTTTCATATTACTGAGATCACGGGCTGGTATTCATGATGTGTAAGTGGTGACACTTGAGATAAGTACAATACTAAAAGCCGACCAGGAATTCTCCATCTCCTAAGTACACAATGTGATAGAAATGATTGACGATTTTTTCATTAATCAGGCAGAAAAACTCAGGGATGTCCTATATTTCTCAAACAAGGAAACCAGAAAAGAACAGATTATTTTGGAACAAATGCGATTCGAATTCATGTACGAATGATCTTTACACTACAAGTTTGGAGCAAAGGTGTGAAGTTTAATATTGATACCACTTTGACTTTTAAAGTAGTTAGCATTCTCAACACCATGCCGATATGGTTTCCTATTGGCTCTCCTACTTGGAAATATGTTTTACTCCATAATGAATGTTGTTCATTCTCCAGAAGTAAAGACCTGGGTTGAGCGAAGAGGAAGAGTATAGAAGAACTAAGCATACTCTATTAATTGCAATTAAATTTGACTTGGAGCTAAGACTAATGATAAAACTTAAAACAAGTGGCAGAAACAAGAAAGTAAATAGCAGTAAGATGTACCATGTGGTGGCCACAGATTTCTTGTATTTTGCCAAGTCGATGGCCGTTCAGCCAAAATTCTGTAGCGTTTCGTTTGCCTGAACTTGCCGCTGGTGAATACGAATAATTTGATAAACTTTGAAGTACGAAAACGACGTTATAAAATAACAAGAGAGTACTTCGATGGTAATCAACGACACAACAACCGTTGGACGCCAATGAATCCGAGCCAGTACAAGAGGAATGGAGATGAGCAACATGACTCTTACGATGATACTACCTCGACGTAAAGTAATCAAAGCTCTTTGAGACATGTACAGCCATCTCTCACTAGACATGAATGCCACCAAAAAACCGTGATGAATATAAAGGATATGGTGATACCACTGTTGACTGTGTCCATGGTTCTAAATTTCTCCATGTTGATAATTCCTGTACGAGGACATTCCAGATATACAATGGTGGACGTTATATACACCGGCTGAGCTATGAGCCCTGTGCACAAGCCAGTCAGGGCTAACCCACTAAAAATGATGGGAAAAGGTGTTCGTGAAAAATTTTTCTTCCAAATTGCCGTCAAGATTAGGAGATTTTCAAGGACTGCTATCACTGACAATACTGCGATGAGTGTTGATATTGTGATATCCAGATGGCACGAAGCGAAAGATAGACTTTGAGGAAGCGAGGTCGTGTTGTTATTGCACATGAGGTTAGCTTGATAATTTTCTCTGGGTTGAGCTTGGCGAAGCAGTCAATAGAACAGGCACCCTCTCTTGTTTAGAGAATATGTAGAAGCTTTTTTGTTTTTTGACAAACTCTTGAAAAGGAGGTGGATAACAAACATTAACAATGGAAAGAACTAATACATTCTTGTAAGGACTCATCCGGTGCCAATTTAATATTTTTCCTTCAAGAGTTTTCATGTCAGAAAAGCAATTTTCTGTAATCAAAATTTGCAAGATATCTCAAAGGGTTCTTTGTAAGACTGCTGTTAAGCTTTCCCTGCACTGTCTATCAGCTTCATTTTAATCCTGTATTGCGATCATCTCTATTTTTAGGGCAGAAATGTTTTTTTGCCTTGACATCAAACTTACTCCTTTCAAATAATTGTTGAGAGACAAGTATTTTTAAAATTGACAACTCTCTAAGTCATTCTTTCATGCTAATTTTTTAAATTAATTCTTAGTGATATCGATCGATGGTCTGCAAACGCTAAGTCTATGAAAGATGTATCTTTGTGGTGCATGTATTTTGAAATACGTGCATCTATAGAGTCTTCTTACTTTTTCTCTACAGAAGCAAATATTTTTTTAATTAATTATTAAGAATCAAACATTTTCCTATCAATTTCATATAAAGTTAAAAATGATGCTCTGTTTTGAAAACCAAATATTTCAAAGTGCTTAGCGTAATGTTCCGTTCTGAAGGCAAGTGCACGCTAAAATAACAGGCTCTGACAAACAATAACTCTAATCTGGCGTTTTTTTTTTTAATGAATAAATAATTTATCCTTTTTTTAAGTTTATGGATGAAATACATATATCGTCAAAGCTTTCCCAGTGGAGAGCAAGCTTTTCTTTCTCAGGAAACTAATTAAGGAAATTGAAATTCGGCTAGTTGTTATTTGAGGAAGAAATATTAAGCAAGGATGGTTTAGATTCACTTGGAATAACGTTTGCAAACGGAAAAAAAGACATGTCTTTGATGGAAGGAAAGTTCGGTGACAGATTAGTTGAGTGTCGGCTAGATGCGTTATCGGTTGGTATCGAAACTGATGGAAAATACACGGGATAAAATTTTTTAAATTTTTTGAAAATTTGACTAAAGACTTGAATTGCTAGGGCTAATGGTTAACGTCGTTGACTAATCCTTTTCCTTTTAATAATGGAGACAATTTTTCACAAATCCTAAATGTGACAACTAATCAGGCCTAAACATGAGCAGGCATTTCGGTGTTTGTTTTTTAAAATAATGAGGTTTCTATCTGATTGCTATTATAATTTTAGTTATTGGAAAGATCGCTTTTTAAGACAGATCAACAGAACGTCTTATCCAATCTGTTTAATGTTCCATACGCTTGTCAGCCCTGGTACTTTGCAAATTATTTGTGCTACATGCTCAAGAAACCTGGTTCCCCTTTGGAAAATTCATTTCTGATGAGCTTAAATCACGTCTAAGTGACAACGATATGTGTTCAGACGATACTGAGCTACCCACTTACACCAGGTGACCAAGTAAGTTTAGTTTTAAGTATTTCCCATCTCCGTCCTTCGTCCTTGTCGTGATTCATAATGACGTTACTTTAATCAGTGTAATTCCCGTTAAAAAACAAAACAGTCACGTAGCTGCTTAACTCCATGACGAATATCTCGCATTCTCCAAATGTAAAGCGCTGGGTTGAGAGACGAAGACAGAAATAAAAAAACTACAGATACTCTAAAGGAAAAATATGTTTCCAAAGTCATTCTGCTAACTCCATAGTACATCGCAGTGGAGATAATATAAGGCACGAAACAAATAGAAAACAACAAGAGAATATAAATCATAGTTGCTATCGATTTCTTATACTTCGCCAGATCTATCGCCGGCTGACCAAAATTGTGAGAAGTTGTGCTCGCTTGGACCTGGTGCTTATGTAGGCGAATGATTTGGTAAACTTTGAAATGTGCGTATAATGTGATTAGATAACAAAACAGAATCTGGGCAATGAAAAGTAATCTCGTTGTCCGTCCATGATTATTCTCTAAAATCCGAACAACAACCATAGGTATCCCAAAAAGCAACACGATGAGGACGGTGAGACATCCGCTATGCCATGTTATGAGAGATCGCCGTGACATGTGGAGCCATCTTTCAATGGACATCACTGCGATGGTTAGAATCGTCATGGTAATGAAGGCAACTGCAGCGCTCTCGCCGATTGTACGTATCGTTATAACAAGCGCTGGTGTTTGACATATTACTGTCGAGCTTATCGAGTAAATCAAAAGCGTTGCAGCGTACAGAGGCTGAGCAACGAGTCCTGTGCACAAATCATTAAACGCCAATCCACTCAACAGGATATGAAATGGTGTACGCAAGAAGTTCCTCTTCCAAATTGCCGCCAAAATCAGCAAATTTGCCACTACTGCGACTGGTGACAAAGCAGCAACAATGATAGAGGTAGAGAGAGAGACCTGTTTCGTTCTGAAGTCATCATCGTTAGAAGTGGTAAGAGAAACAAGCCTTTCTTCACAAGAGAGAGTCGTGTTGTTCGTCATATCAACTCGCCTAGATCATGCTGCGATACTAAAATCAAAGTTTGCTAGGAGATGATTGAATCTGAAGGGAATCGTAAAAATATATTTTTGTTGTGTTCATGCGCGAATCTGAAACCTTGAAGGAAAAGACGAAACAATCCAAATTCTGTCCATGTGTTCAAGATAAGCAAGCTTTAAAAGGTTGGAACGAATAAAGCTTGATTGATATTTGCATTTTTATTTTATTTGCTCACAGGTTTTTTAGCCTCAAACAATGACTTGGGTAAATAAGGTATCAACATTTCCTTTAAGCAGTTTCTTAATTAAAGTTTTTCGGAGCATTTATGTTATTATTTCTGTGTTGATGGAAGCAAGACATAATTATTCGCAAATAATATTGTTTTGCTTTTCGGCATAAAAATTACTACAGTGAAGACGATATATAGAAAAAACTCAATGATCCCCTATCGCTCTGCCGTTACACCTTGAAAAAATTGTGTTTGATTTCGACAAATTAGGTTACCCTTGATAAAAGCTTCATTAGGCTAAAACCATCTGCCAATAGCAGCAGCAGTTAGATCTTGCTTTTTCATCATAGGTCGTTTCATGTCACTCAGCTATTACTTGTGCATTGTGCGGATACTTTTCAATAGTGCATTTCAGTGTTATGAACCACTTACTCGTGAACACGCGGTTGGGAATCCTTCTGCGATAGAGGGCCAGACTGCTAACATTTTGACTTCCCGAACGGGACTTTGAGCGCGATGCTCAACGAGTTCGCTTTAAATTTACGAAAGGTATCTGATGAGTCTCTTGGCCGAGACGAAAAACCGCGTCATGCCAGCCACGAATTTTTTTCATAAGTATTTGACAATTTTTTATTGTATATATGAACCACTTAAAGTAGAAATTTTTGGGAACAACTAAAATTAGGAGTGTTCTGGCAAAATTCTTGGGAATTGTTTAGGCCTGTTGGATTATTTTGAAATCCTGATGCTAGTCTAATTGCGAGCCTTGGTTTGTTATGAGTAGCAAGACCATACATTTATTTCTACCCTGTGAATGATGTGTCCTTCACCTTTGTATAATGGCTTAATTCTAGTACGATAATCGTCATCGCTTGTCGTGTTTGGGTTTGTCCTTGATCTTTCTTAGAGTCCTCAACGGGAAGTTTTGTCTAGGTTTTAGTTCTCGAAGATTGCTTGTTTTTCAAGTATTTTGTTGTTCATTTCGAATGTTACGTGAGATTGTTTTAGTTAACGTTCTAAAAATATGTGAACTCTTCCAAGGTCAGTTGTCCCGTAAGTCCAAACATGCCTACATACGGCATTTAATTACCCTTTAACTCCCATAACTGTGAACAAGACAGAATTTCTCCTTACAATAGCAATATTGTCAAGCGAACTAGTAAGGAGAATGAAGAAAAAAATACCAATAACAGGATTATTAATTGATCCAATACCAAATTCTCCGAACCAACATCTTGAGATTTGTATGTAAGACTGTGAGAATTACTTTTGATATCTTGGGAATGAAAGGGTTAAGAGCGTATACTTAGGGCTGAATTTTAGAGAAGAAAGAGACCGAGTCTCAGAGAGTGAAAAAAAACTGTTCCTGATCAGACACCAGGTGCCTCCCGTTTGCACATGTGCGTGGTTTTCGAACTACTCTTCCACCAACATTCCGATATAAGGACATTTCATTATTACTCATTCAACTAAGGTACAGTAAAACTTTGCAACCAGGCATTTGAGGACGCTTAAGAAGTGAGATAACTCTGGGACAACCCATGGATCTCGGCTTCCAAATATTCCACTTTTTAAAACCGATTCTGGTTGGGCAGATCAAATCAAATCAATGTGATTAAAGAATTGTTTTCTTATCGAACTAGTTAGGCGATTTCATTAACCTTCGTAAGTCAGTCGTAGGTTTTAAGCACAGATTTAGAGGTCAGCTCCTGGAGCAGTTCTTGAAGTTATGGCGGTGAACTCCCAACCACTTGAGTTGCGCCGCTGTGTTGAGTGTAGGGTGGCTCAGCGACTGCCTTTACAGCTGCAATATACCAGAGTTTAAGGGAAAAGAAAACATTTAAACTGTCGATTGATTTTGAAATTACTTTAGTCACGAAGTTGTTGATTTTAATTGTAATTATTACGTAAGCCTCTCATATGACGATGTGTCAATATAGCTCATTGTTTATTGCGCATCGTCAATTACAGTCACTTACTTTAACGCTACTTTGCAATCGTGCCTGATAAACCGTCCTACGTTTAGGACGCTTGACAGTCATGTATTGCGAGTACACTTCACAATCATGCCTTGCAAAAACACGTTACAACCATGTTTTGGTGTCTTCTGAAAAATGTATTTTAACATCATTTTAAAGATTCAGTGGCCTCAGTTATCTAACTTCAGGCAGCTTTATTTTTCGTTTATAATCAGCACTTAACCTAAAAGTTAATAGGAGGTTCTCAACGGGGTTAACTGATATCCGTAAAACCGTCAAAAAATTTAGCCGTCAGGCGTAAACATTGACAAACTGTAACCGATAGTCGTCATAAAAAGTTAACCGTAAAGAAAATTTCTTGTAACAACAACAAATGGCCAAAATTATAACCGATAACCTCAAACCATAAAAGCAACCGCCCCATTGAGACCCTCCAATAACAACACAAATATTATCAAGTGATAAACAGCGGGTTTTTCTATCATCAAGATTTATCATCGACTTGACTTGTCCGCTAATGTAAAAAGACAAACCTCTAGTTGGGGCCGCACATTAACTGAAATAAAGACAGGATCCTTCGGAGAAAATCTTCACAGCAACAAATTTTGGAGTGCACCTTTTAATAACGTTTAATTTAAAGAGTAGCACAAATACACAAACAGAAGTAATGGTTTAATTTGTATCTGTTGGTTAAGCCATTACGAAGAGCGCTTTTAGCGCTTTTAGCGCTCTTTTTTAGCGCTTTTTTTAATAACGTTTAATTTAAAGAGTAGCACAAAGACACAAACAGAAGTAATGGTTTAATTTGTATCTGTTGGTTAAGCCATTACGAAGAGCGCTTTTTGCTCTAAATTAATCCGAAGAACTCTCCTAAAAATAACGCTTTCCTCGCAATTTTATGACAGAAGTTATAGCTTCTTAATTACTGCTTGTCGCCCTCATGCGGCTCTTGATAAAAAGTTGCTTTATCTTTTTGTCATGGATTTTAGAAGACGCAAATTTGACATAAGCAACTAAACAGCATTTATATAACCTATCTTGGAGAGCGATATAGATGTAAAACTCTCCAATGAGCTCAGGGGATATTTTTGGCTCGTGACACTGCAGTTTAAGTAATTGAAAACCTGCACACACATTTGAGCACAGGTGATAAATAGGTTATCATACGACATTTGGAAAAGGCCCTAAGATGGTCCATATAATGCGTTTTGAGTGAACAGTTACACGGAATCTAACAACAGCTTGGCGATGTCAAAAACTTACCAGTACTTGTAAGGTGAACTCTAATTGACAAATCTTATTAACTAAGTACTTTCAGCGAAAAGGTTTTGAGGTGGTCTTTTCCATGCACCATAGCACCGCAATACAACATGTTTGACAACAAGAATTGTACTTCTCGATACCAAGAGTCGGCTAATTTTAGTTCAGATGATTGTAGCAGAGAACACCCGGTTTCTTTCCTCGGTGCAGTTGATCTGTCTACATCAGTCATCATTGCTGTTTTATCACCATCGGCTGTGGTTGCGAATGCACTGGTTTTGGCCACCATTTGGAAAAGAACTTTTACCAGGACTTCTTTCCATTTTCTTTTAAGCGGATTGGCGTTCACTGACTTTTTCACAGGACTTCTTGCCCAACCTTTCTTCGCTGCGTCGTGTCTAACAAATTCGATAAACATTCGTACAATTGGCGAGAGCAGCAGCGCATACTTCATTGCCATAACACTTATTATCATAACGTTGATTTCCGTTGAACGATGGCTATATATGTCTCAAACATCATCTAGTGCATCACGTCGTAGATATTTCTTCCTTATCATGGTGTTTTTTCTCCCAATTCCAGCAACTGTTATTTGCGTGTTAGCTAACCATAAAGATCCGGCGTATGAATATGTGTTTGCCGTAACTACAGCCGTAGAGATGTCGTGTTGTTTTCTTGTGACATTATTCAGCTATTTCAAAGTTTACCGTATTCTACGCCACCACCAACAACAAATTCGTGCCCATTGGGGGTCTCAGAATTTTGGTCAACCCACCATAGACTTTTCAAAGAACAAGAAATCTGTGGCTACCATGATGTACATTTTGCTATTGTTTTCTGTCTGTTTCATTCCTTACATTGTTGCAGCCCCCCTAAAATTTACTCTTGATTCCAAATATGAAGAAAGAGCCTTCGTTGCTGAGAAAGTGTCAATGGTGCTTTTATTTTTGTCTTCTACACTCAACCCAGGACTGTACGTTTGGAGGATGAGAGATATTCGTACTGGCCTTAAGCAGCTGTTTGGCAGAAGCAATTAAATAAGTTATTCCCGCCAGGTCCATGATCTGCCGATGATCAATTTTAAAACCGGAATAGCGGTTGCCTAACATGAATAAACCTAGTGATGACTCTAGCTAACCAAAGAGTTTCCGACCGGTCACTGGTACAGTTACAGAGCACGGAATCCGAAGATCTGACGTTCGATTCCTGTTCGAAACAAAGATTTTGCTTTCTTTGTCTTGCGCTAGAGACAACGGGAATCTACCAATGAAAACAGTTTTAAAGACACCTCTCTTTATTGCCTAACAATATTCATACATGTTTGCACATATATGAATATATTATTGACCGTCCTAAAACGCAGTCGACGAGCAAAAGCAACTCAAGAAAACTCACAATTATTTAATGAGGTTATGTTATCCATGACAGCCGGGAAGATTTAGTGCCGCGGAATAAGCACCCAATACAATAGCCTCTTATCTTCATATCTCATCAACTGATCAGCCGACCAAAAATTTAAGGCCTGTTTCATGTC